CTTTCTTAGATTCAGCACTGTGAGGTTCTGATAGATCAGGCCATGGAGGGATTGTCCTACTATCACACCTACGACCGCCTTTTCCTGGGCTGCAGCGTTGTCTTAGGTTTCATCGGCTGGACGTCTTACGTGGTTTTGGTTATCCTGAAGACTCACGCCAGCCTGCGCAAACCACCTGCAAGCAGAGACACGGTGAGATGAGATGCAATGTACACAACTTTACAAAATGATAAGATTTCCAAATAAAATATTAAGCTTAAACTAAAAAAGAAGAAATCTCTTCATTTACTTTTCTGGGAACGCTTGAGTTTTTTAAAACAAGTTGTAGTACATTTTTGCTAAATGTCACCCTTCCAATTTGAGAAAGTACACTATTAAAGAGGCTGTCAGTATTTCATTGTTCAAATACTATGTGCATTTTTTTCTAATATTTATATATGTGAAGGCAGAAATCCACACTGTAATGTTTAAGGTACTTTTAGACACCTGGCGCAAGTCCACTAGATGAGCCTTAAGCTAATGAAAGAAATACACAACATTTACATCTTTTTTTACCTTTTAAATATTATTAAATTAAATTCAAACAGTGTATATTTTCAGAAACTGCTATTAAATGTTAAATTAAAAGCATGTGGCTGAACCTAAAATGTGCATATAGTGCTCTCTAAGGATTATTTATGTTATGTAATATGTAGTAAGCATAGTGAATATGAACTAATTTGGGATTTGTTTTAATTGTGTGTTAAAGGGGCTTAAAGGTGAATTTAAAATGATGGATTATTATGTGGCTCCCTGGTTGTCTGAGAAAAGTAAAATTTCAGCTACAGAACAATCTAGAACAATTTTTAAAACAACTTCTACTTTTTATGGAGAAATGGAAGTAGACAGTCCTAAGATTTTGATTATTTAAATGAGGTTTCACTAATTCGTCATTGTAATCTCATTTTGATTTTTCAGCTTGTTTTCCCTTCCATTTTCATTTTCTCTGCTTTCTCACCTTTAATGTGCAGCGTATTATGAAGGGTGGCATGGACAAATGAAAAATATATCAATCATGAAATCCATCAATATTATATAAATAAAAAAATAAATCAGTAAATCAGTGAATTAATATATTGAATAATACAAGTGCAATATGATAATAAAACATAGGAAACATAAAATACCACGTTGCTGAATACATTTGAGCTAGTTTGTTCTAAAAACATTAAACTTTAATTTCTAAAGCTAAACCAAAGTAAAGACATGTTAACATGTGTGTTTATTTTTGGTTAGCTTTAGAAATCAATTTTATATCCTCACATTCATGAAGTGTATGGAAAGTATTCAACCTTTAACCATCAATCTATTTTTAAAGAAAATAATGTGCGTTGGTACTTCCCTATCAGATGGTTTATTTAAATAATGTGGACTGAAGAACAAGCCACTTAATTTACACATTTTTTAAAAACAGATTCTTCTGAATCACCTGTCTGCTGTGTTTCCTGTGTTGTTTTAGATGGCAGGGAGACATCTGGGTCGGGTTTTTGTGTGTGTGGGCCTGCTGGTGTCTGTCTTTCTGTTTCTTCAGGCCAGTTCCTTCACCTACTACATCTACTGCCTGTTGCCTGTCCCCGTGTGGTACGGAGTCCTAAAAGAGTGAGCCACCCTCGATTATGCATTGTGTTAACAAGGTATATGTGAGTGAAAACATTTTTTCAGAGGCTCAGAGATTGGCATCGGAGGTGTGAACATGAGGTCAACACCTAACATGAAACTTTATCACAGCAATAATCTGTCAACTTGAGAAACTTCCTGGTTTCAATTGACCTGGTTTTCTAAAGCATACCATTGGAATTTTATCCAGTCTTTGATTGGTCAAAACAGGCTTCTTCAAATTTAATACCTGTCTTTCAGTTGTATTCATTTGCACACGTAATATCCATTTATGACATGTCTTTCCGGCTTGACAGTATATCACACTATGGGTGCAAAATGTATCGATTTGGAAGACACAGTCCTACGCAGAGCCTGTTAGTAAATCAGTTTGCACAGTTTTTGTGGGTGTTAGCAAGTTTGTGCTTGTTTTTACACATACAAAACGTGAATAATTTAGGGCTACAGTGTAGAGTTTAGGGATGTGCTTGGTTATTCAAGCATGGAAAAATTTAATTTCACTATTGCTTATTTGAATTTAGAAACCTGTATTGTTTTGTTTGGCTTTTTCCTTTATAAGAACTAAGTCTACACCTCATCAGCTTTGTACTTTACCACTAAAGTTGTACATTTTGTCTTGTTAATGCTCTTGTTTTTAGATTCAGGATCCTTGTTGATCTTATGAGATCAGTTCCTTCCCTGAACCTGAGCAAATGCTTTGGATATTTTGTTCTAGTCACATTTGTGATAGAGCTACTGGTAAGTGGGACAGAACACAGATTTATACAAAATTATACACTGATACCAAAATACACACATATACACTGGTTTTCTCAAAGCATAACCAGGTTTATGCTTCAAAAATCATTTTTTCTCCACTGATTTGTAGGTTGTGAGTTTTTTCTATCGAGCTGTGTTGACCCTGGGACTGATAGTGCTGGCGCTGTGGCCTGTTGTCTCAGGGCTTTATAGAAAAACCAAGGTGAGATAGTAGAGTTGGTCTAGCCGTGCTTTCACAATAGCAAGTGACAAAAGGTGAGCATTCATTTCCTGTGTAAGTTTGCAATGCAGAACTATGATTCCGGTGACAAGAGACTAATGACCTGAATCGAGCTTTTCCTTTTATGCAAATTAGTCACAATGAGGTAAAGTGTGAAAATTTTCACCAAATGATTGTACTGAGGAGTTTCATTTCTAGTTGAAGTGAAGTGACGTGTAGCCAAGTACCCATACTCAGAATTTGTGCTCTTCATTTAACCCATCCAAGTGCACACACACAGTAGTGAACACACACACACCATGAACACACACCCGGAGCAGTGGGCAGCCTTTTTTGCTGCGGCGCCCGGGGAGCAGTTGGGGGTTCGGTGCCGTGCTCAAGGGTCTCACCTCAGTTGTGGTATTGAGGGTGGGAGAGAGCGCTGGTCATTCACTCCCCCCACCTACAATCCCTGCCAGACCTGAGACTCGAACCCACGACCTTCAGGTTCACCTTCGGGTTACAAGTCCCAGACTCTAACCATTAGGCTATAATATATATAATATATAATATAATAATAGTTACTATACAGACTATGCATTTGGACTACTACCATATGTTATGTAAGGAATTAAATACTTCGTGTCATGATGTTATAGGAAAATAAACCACGACCAAGTAGTGTGAAGAAGCAGTTACTGTTACCACCTAGAACAGCACATCCTGATGTGTTTTATTCCTCTAATACTACAATATTTCCATATTTCCTGTGTTGTGTTGCTGTGTTGTAGTCCAGGTCAGTGAGCTGGGTGTTGAGCTGCTTGTGTCTGGCAGTGTTTCCTCTGTTGCCTGTTGTCGGACGAGAACCCAACACCAACTATGTGTAAGATCCCTCACTCTCTAGAGTGAAATATTTATATTTCTAGCCTTTTATGTCATATTTCTTATGTTGTGTGTTTATGATCTTTTAATTCAGGTTATGTGCTGGAGCTCTAATGCTGTTCACGTCGTTCCTCTACATTTTATCACATAGACACGCAGGCCTGCACACGAGAGATCGTTGGCTGTTTATTGGCCAGGTTTTTTGGGTTTTTTTTGACCTCTTGCTATGATGCACCCATGCTCACACTCAGAGATAAACAGCTTTAATTTTATATTTGATAATATTCGTGCACCCTAACAAGGCAGCATAAATGCCCTCTTTTGGTCAATCTTAGCAAAGACTGTCTCGTAATTCCTGTAAGTGTGTCACTGATGAACTAGAGCAGTAACACTGCTGTGGTAATGTTTGCAGATGCTGCAGGTGGCGCTGTGCGCATACGTGCCTTCCAGCACACACTCCAGTCTGCAACTCAAACAAGGCCTACCGCTCTTCAATCAGCTCATCAGCTGGACCACTCTGGGTTGGACAACTTTATGTTTATATTTTTCTTCCTTTACATACGCAATAACACACTGTGGAGCATGCTATTATGGGAAAATAATCAATGATAGGAAGGTGTGATAAAGCAGAGTTACTGTTCTCACCCCAAAGTCATTTTATTTTCCAATAACAGCACATCCTGAGTGTTTTATTTCTCTAAAACCATGGCAAAATGTCAACAATTAAATTTTTTTCATTTATTAAAGAATGGCACGTCATGCTTTATATATGTTTATAGTATCATTTAATGTTGTGGAATGTTCAAGAACAAGTTCCTGTTCTCACTGATGCTATAGCAGCTACAAACAATTGTTCCCTCACCAACCTCTCTTTTTTTTAAGTTAATAAGACAAAAAAAAGGCAACACTCCTCTGTCCTGAAAGATTTTCCCGTGGTGGAAAACTGCGTGACACTGGAGACTCCTTCCGTACATGTTAAATAAACATCTCCTTACAGAAAACTTCACCATATCAGCAATATCTGTAATTTGTATGTTGTTACTATAGAAACGATCACGTATTAGAACAAATGCATTAATATAAACCTGTGATTTGCGTCTGCGCCCTACTGTCAGAGCTGCTGTTATAGGAAATGAACCTACACCTTCTGACCAATCAGATTTGAACATTCAACAGTGCTGTGATATAATATTATTTAATCTGTTGCTCAAAATGTCTCTCGGTGTCTAACCGTGTGTTTCTGCCTTCCAAACTCTGCTCTCTTGTTTAGTCTCATCATTTTTTGTGCCGCTGCTGAGTTCTACGCGACTCTTCCACAGGCTGCTGAGTATTCTCATGTCCCTCATCTGTGTGTACCTTCTCCTCAGCACTGGGTAAGATACAGATTCTCTAGATATTGTATGGATTCAGTGTAAGATAAATATAAGATAAATGTACCGTATTATTTCAAACCTAGTTTGTTGTTCTTTCGGCTGCTCCTGTCGGGGTTCGTGACTGGGGTTGGTTCCCTGGCCATGAATCGAACTCGGGCCGCAGCGGTGAGAGCACCGTGGCCTAACCGCTAGTCCTCCAGAGACCCTATTTCAAACCTAGTTTACATGATCATATTTCTGAAAACAAAAAATCGAAGGCATGTGGCATGTGTTTATTCGTTTTTTTTTTTTAAATAGTAGAATCATTATGCTTATTGTGTTTAATCTGTTGAAGTATTGTAGTCATAGTTATATTTCATTCTTAAGTTTTGGTTGAGAATAAAGTTAACATGGGTAGCTACAGTACATCACTGATCTGCCTTCTGAATCTCACAGGTGATATTCTCAACACATACGTAGCTTTGGCCTTCTAGAAGTTCAGTGGGGTTTTTTTTGTTTGTTTTTTGCCATTTCAAGATTTTAACCTGATTTAACAATGTGAGTCAGTGGTCTGTGAGTGGCCGTGTCACGTATTTGGTCCTGGCGTGACACTCGTGTTGAATTGTTTTCATTAGTGGCTATTGTAATCCAATGACCTTATTTCATTGTAAGACAGTTGCACACTATGAACGTAAGGCCTAGCATCTGCATTATGATCTGTTCAGGTAGATTTTAAATAGTGTTATTAGGCCCAGACGTAAAATGTAATGTACCAGGAAGGTCAGTGCTAAGAAATCATGGTTAACTTTGAAAGACTTTCTGAGTGCCTGTTTTTACTATGGTGACGTTACTGTGGTAATTCTACAGTTGCTGCATTGTTCTTCTCTGAATTCTGTCTCTTGGCTCACCACAAAGATTTCAGCTGCACATTTTGATATCCTGTGGTTGAACTGGAGAACGTGGGAGGAAGTGGGATGGATATAGAGCCTTCTTTTACCAACAGAGGTTTTTTTTTTAAATGCTTGCAGTTTAATGCATATAGTAGAACAGAAAGGTTGACCCACGTTGCACATTAGTTGGACCTTTTTGACTGATTAAAAAAAAAAAAATTAAAATGCATCACTTGATTTTACTCTGCTCCTTGCTTGAGCTAATATCATGCAAGACAAAAATGAACTTAAGTTCAAGTTCAGAGTCAGGCATAACTATGACATGTCTCTTTGTTTTACTCAAACTTCACGCGTAACCTCTGTACAACTTCAGACGTCCGGGGCTGCGTTTGAGGTCCGACCACATGCGCAACTTCCGTATTGAATCCTTACTGCTGAAATAATCATTTCTGAATGTGCAGTTGAATTGTTTGATTCATAGGGAAGGGAAACCAGAGCTTCTAAGAACTGCCGCTGTAATCATAAAGACTGTCAGAAGGGGACAGGTTCCATGTTGAGTCTGGTTCCTCTCAAACTTTCTTACTCATCTTCTCGGGGAGTTTTTCCTCACCGCTGTCACCTCTGGCTTGCTCTGTAAAGCTGCTTTGTAACAATGTCTGTAGTACAATAGACAAATAAAATAGAATTGGATTAAATAAATTATCAGGCACTGGGTCAAGGGGTTATATCTCCATATTAAAGTCATCCAAAAGGTGCTCTGTGGGCTTTAAGATTAAGAGGGGAGTTTATTTTAGTCATAATCGTCATTGGGTTTATAACAAAGTAACCCTATGTTTAAAAAAAAAAAAAAAAAAAAAAATCTAAATAATGCCAAGTTTCTTTCTTAAATCAGTAAGTATTATTAGCTTTAATGAGTTCATACTGTCCATTTGTTTCTAGTTTAATTCACTTTTTCAGTTCTGCTTGGTTGGTCTTTTAAGGTATTAGGATATAAGCTGTTTCCATCCAGACAATAACCCTAGTATTATTCAGAATATTCAAAATATGTTTTATATTCAGTTTTAGGAATGATGTTCTGATGATTAGTTTACAGGAATATTCTGAAACTTTAGCAACAATATAGTTAATGTCCATGCAACACAATTATTGCAACAGGCTGCATTACTATTAAGGCAACAATAAGAAACATATAAAAGTCAGAACAGAAGATTTTATAGTGTTCATTTATATAAAGATATTGAGGAAATTATTGTTTTAATGCAATAGAGAAATATCCTGTCCTAGTCAGAATATATCTTTTTATGTGAACTTGATAGATGGTAGAATTTTTTTTTTGTTATTTGTCCATATAAACTGCTTTTAAGTTTATGATATTTTGAAGAGGTGTGTATAGTTTTTCAGTCTTTGAGTCCAGGGAAACTGGATTTATATCTTCAAACAAAGTATATATTTAGAATGTACAAATATACAGAAGTGGATATTATTTGCATACAAGCGACTTACATGGCTGCTGACTCTTTTTCACTATGACTTACAGGATATCTAGATATAGCACCATCTGAAAGGTTATGTTTGCTAACGTTTGTGTTCTGTAAAGGTACGAGGCCCTGTTTCCTCCTGTACTGTCATGGCTGATGTTTGTGTGGATCCATATGGAGCAGGAAGCCGTAGACACACACAGAATGTCCAACAGGAATGAGGTAACGTTGAGTCCCCCCCCCCAGACCCTCTCTCTCTCTCTCTGTCTGTCTGTCTCTCAGAAAACTCTTTTCTCAAGTTTCATATTAAACTTCTCTAGCTTCTGCTAAACGGTGTTGGTTTTGGAGAAGTGATTTGTTTGAGGCAAATCAGAATTAAATACCAGGAAGAAACCTGTAGCTGCAGCACACACACAATCATCTACTCACTCACTCACAAACACAACCAGTCCCAGCAAACACTGACATGGTGGAATAACCTCTTTAGAAAGACTACTTTCAAGTGATGTGTCTGCATACACACACATCTAAATGCAAATAAATAAATAAATAAAAAATAAATCTAAACTGAAATAAATGAGTGAGACCATTCTCTTGGACCTTTTTAACTTTTTCCATGAACACAGACATTTATTTATACCTGTGGCTTAATAAAAAAAAAAAAAAACAGGAAGTCTAAACAATGTCACCTTTGTTTTTGTCACACACCATCACGAAATTGAGATATTCAAAAGCAGTTTGGCTCAAGGCCATAAATAGTACCAACTGGATGAATGAAATAGTTGAAAGCTCTATGTAACTATATTTTTTGAAAGATTTGTAAGCCTTAAACTCTTCTTTTATATATATATATATATATATATATATATATATATATATATATATATATATATACATTTGATTTGTTGATCAAGTATATAAATCCAGGATCTGGCCACTGTGTCCTACGCGATTTATAAGGATTGGGAATTTTTTTTTAATCTATTACAAAAATCCTTTACATAAATCCAATGAAAATCCATTGTTAATTTGAAATTCTTTCTATATCTGTTGCAGACCGGAGCAGATCAGTAGGCTTTTTGCCTGCAATGTTTGCAAATAGGATAGGCATCCACTGATTTCACTATTTAACATTAGAAATGTGATACCTAGGTGAAATGCATCAGCTGCGTGTCAGTGTATTCTTCAGTGAAGTTTTTGGTTACCTATTATTATATATAGGTTACATGAAATATGCTAGTGGTAAAGCACAAAGCAAGCTCAAAAAGCTCCCAGACCAGAGATGAATACCATCGGCAGCACTGTGTGTCTTTACTAAGTATCAGGTGCAGGTACTGAGAACCACAACATCTGGCAGTGGAGATCAATGCAAAACCAGGAGCTGAACTTAACCGCATGTAACCAAAATGTGCTCATTTCAGCTATATAAATAAGATCAGTCTTTGGTCTTTTGTAGCTCTACACATTTCCTCCATTTCTGCCATACACATATTTTTCTCTATTGGATGCAAGACATACGTATGTTTCATTCATCATAATTAAACACTAAATTAACCTGTAAAAAAGTTAATTACTTAAAAACTGAATGACCTGATCTACAGGGTGTCTCCATACATAGGGGAAATAAACACTTTTTAGCAAAATGTCTCCCAAAATTTTTCATACTTAGTTGATATAATATTTCTTTTCAGATAGCCTTTAAGAATGCCTTTGACAAAAGAAGAACGTATTGAAATCATTCTGATGGCTTGATCGGGAAGCTGTCACAAGGTTGCGATGGACATGTAATTACATGCATAACACCAGATGTGTTTAACACAAGTATTTTAACACGAGAATTGGCAATCATGTAGAGGATGCTTTGTAAATAAAGCTACTTTTTGCTAAAAAGTGTTAGTTTCCCCTATGTATGGAGACTTTTGGGACACCCTATATATTAGATTTGTGTGTGTTATGTGGAGAACATAGACCTCAGAGCCAGATGCATGTTGTCTATGTTGTAAAGGAATACTGTTAAATATTAATGCTCTGGATGGTGCCATAAACTGACAAATGAGGAAGTATAAGTGAATGTCACAGCCTTTAACCTGCCTGGTGTGTTTATCGGTAAATATTTTATCATTGGAGCAGTCTGAATTTTAATCCTGACTTTTAAGGATTCATTAAACATTTTGTCTTGGGGCATTTTTATTTTCTTGGTGTTACAATATAGATTTCTGGATTTTCAGTGGATTTACATAATCACTGAAAAATGCTTTCCTGCAAAAACATGCTACAGCTCTTAACTTTGTGCATTTTGATAAGCTGTTCATAACATTGGGTGTCTTTGCAGCTTTCATACACTGATTTTGCTGAAAATATCGACTTATCCAGAATCAGGCAGCTGAGTTTGGACGATATCAGAAGATCGTACTTCTTTGTATCCTTGCACTTTATCAGGAAATGTTATTTTGTACCAGCATTGTGTCTACAATTCATTAATTTTTTTTCTTAAATCCAGATAATTATTTGCCTTAATAATTTGCACCAGGTATTCTTCATAATCATTGCATTCTTTGGCACAGGAAACATTGCTTCCATCAACAGGTAAACTTCAGGGCCTTTTGAGGACCTCGGGTTTATAAAGGTTACAATTCTACACAAAGCCTATGTTTAAATAAAAATAAAAACTCCTTCTCTTTTCTGTTATCCTCTCTCTTTCACAGTTTTGACCCAGCCTCTGTCTACTGCTTTCTAACGGTCTTTAATCCTTTCATCATGGGTGGCCTTTTAATGTGGAAGGTACCGCACTACCTAAATAAATCACTACAACATGTTTGTGTGAAATATAAATATAGATTTGGAAAAGTTAAACCC